GTAGTGATCCACCGCCGCTCGAGTAAACGCACTAGATTAAGACGGATATTATATTCCGAATGACATCGTTGCAACACAGCTAACTACATACTGGCCAACTCGTCCTTAAACCTTTCAAACTGATGTTCGTCCAACTTCCGAGCTGTTTTGAATTGATTGTTGATGGGAGCACCCTGGATGTTGGGCGGCGCTGCATCCAAGGGTCGGCAGTACTCCAAGTCGCCCAAGATGACTCGTTTGTCGCTGAGCAGGACAAACACGTTGGCCGCTCGAACATCACAATGCGCCACTCCCAAGCTGTGGAGTTCCTCCAGAGCTTGCTTGACTTGTGACGGTCGAAGGGGTTAGACGCACAAAAGTTACGAAGGTCCGGATACTCTCGGCTTGGCCAAGAAGAACACAGCAAGAAAGGAGTAGATCCAATGTTAGGCAAATGTTAAAGTGAACTATCTAAAAACTAGCTAAAGCTGACGACCTTTGGGGAAAGGTCGTGTTGAATAAAAGGCAAGACGGTCGAATTCGAAGATGGTCGGCCCGTCGAATAATATACCTTTGCGATGGCGGTACCACGAAGTGGTGTAGTAGTACAAGCCCATGCTCCAGCTCCGTCACAAGTCCCGCGGTGAAGATTCGACCCTCTCGTCGAATTACAAATGAATCGACGGAGTTGGGTAGGTGGTGTTGGGTAGGTCAAAATGGGTAAAAGGTCTGTTCGCCCAAGTACTCCTTTTCGCGGGAGTTAGGTAGACGTCGCCGGTCAACTACCCGGAAAATCGGCGACGAGGTAGACGAGTAAGCAACGTCGTCATCTGGAAAGGACACTCGTTCCACGAAGCTGGACGAGGGTAGGCAGTCGATCGACAATTCGTCGCAAGCTTCGTCAGCTTCGGGGATCTCGTCGTCGAACGATCGTGAATAGTAGCCCCGAAATGGTTTGAGTCGGTCGACGTTCACAGTTACCATCTTGTCAGGGTGTGATGGTATGTCGATCTTGTACGTGTTTGGTCCCATTTTGCGTTCGACTCGGAAGGGTCCATGCCAATCCGTGGCTAGCTTAGTCGTCCGATGATCGTCTGGTCGAGTCGACTTGGCGAAGTATTTGTGGACCCAGACGGCTGTCTGTTCGCCAAACTCGATGGGTTTTTGGTTAGCCTTGGTTCTTGCACTCTTGTTTTGAACGGTGATCAGTTGTTGTTCCACGAGGTTTCGTGTCTCTTTCCAAGACGCGGCCAGACGACGCTTATATTGGGGCAAGTCGTCGGACTTCCAGGAGGGCTC